CAGCTTCTAAGGAACTGAAAAGGTTTCGCACCTTTTCTTGCACTAAAATAGGGACCATATGCACTTGTTCTGACTTAACTACAAAATCGACTTAAAGACACACTTGGGAATGGATCTCGTTTGTAGTCTTGGGACTGCCTGCATCAAAGACCGTACATGGAACACGCTTGGTGTCACATAAATGATCTTACACAGTATTAACAGCAAGCTCACATTTCAACGGACAAAGAATTTAAGACTCTCAATGCTTCATAAAATGATTCTTTAAGATGTGATATATGAAATTCAGCTGAGTAGGCCTTGAAACCCAAAGGACAGTTATCTAGTTAGCTAATTGCCGTTAAGTTTACACCATCAACTACCAGCAATTCAGTTGATTGGGTGGATATTTCTTACCTTAAATGTACTTAATTGGTATCAGCATTTTCTATCTCAGGCTTTCATGAATCAGCCACCGTTTATCCACCACCTACCATCTGCTTAGTATCAGGAAGAGTCACGGTGACGATGAAGTCGTAACAGTATTGAAGAACGAATCTAAGATTCAGATGCTAGGAATCAAAAGGATGCTACCCACTTCTGTCAGTAATCCGTAATCTAGTGTAGTGCCGTAGGAAAAACACTCAACCTCAAGGTTAGTTTGAACCTCAAGGTTGGTGGTTCAAACTCATCAGCTGCTCCTCGGAAATCTTGTACAAGGTCGCTGAGTGAGTCAGAACTGACTTGACGGCACTTAACAACAATAAACCATGTCTCATCAGAAATGTTAGAAAGTTCTCAGTATGTTTTATACGTAATAAAATGCAAGTGATGTACTTTCTCTATTTTATTAATACAGTCACTAGAACATTAATCTCAGTGTTAAATTTTCCCCAAGAGCTGAATTGCTTCTAAGAAAAACAGTGATTTGAAGGCTGGCATTGTAGATAACAGACTCTTATTACCTCATAGTGGCTTCTCTTAGCAGATGGCTTCAGAGGAAAACAGAACTCCATCTACCTACCAAGTATCCATTTTGGACTCCTGGTGTGGCATTGTAGGATAAGCACTGGACTGTGAACCACAAGAAGTTCAGTAGTTCAAACCCACCAGCAGCTCCTCAGAACCCTATGAAGGGTCACTATGGGTTGGAACCCACTCAACGGCACTTAACAACAACAACAGCAACAACAACCAAGTATCCATGTCACCTACATTCTTAATAAAGTATGAATCTTGATTTTTGCATCTCACATTTATCAAGTAAACAAAGCAGAGAAAGCAGTCAGAATTGTAAAGAACCATCAAACTCTCCATCCAGGAAGTGACCCTAAGCATAATATTAAGGTAACTTTTATGCTTTTCAGTCTTTTTGTCCAAAACACCTGACGATTACAGAGCCAACATTTCTACTTAAAAAAAATTTTTTTTTTTTTTAGAAATAACCATAGTCAGGGCAAGAAAAGGGAAACAGTATCTTTATTGTGTACAGTTCTAACAAACATTCACTGTGTGCACATTCCAACAGAAAGAGACAAAGATCTTTGTTCAAAATATGCTGAAATAAAATAGGTAAACAAACTCCATTATTAAATACACAAAAAGGAAGGTTAATATTCCTAGTTTACAATCAAGGGTGAAATAAAAAGTAAAAAGTAAGGAAGCTAAATAATTGTAATAAGGTGTTGCCCGAATAGCAAATCTAGGATACAGTTGTGGGAAAAGAACAGTTACTGAAACTCATGAGTAAGAGACACTGGATGTAGAGTAGATAACTTAACAATTCTCTCTCGGCTTCCTTTGGAGCCTCCCTGCTACATCACCCCCATCAATACCAGCACAAGCAGCCAAATGTGACTAAAACTCCCCATGACTTTTGTGATATCTGGCAACAGAATGAGACGGTTTTTAAAAAATTTGATTTCTTGTTGAGACAAGACATGCCTGAATCCATTTGTCCTACGATAGGAAATGAACATCAACATCCTACATTTCAGTCTCCCAAACTGGAATTTAACCAGGTAGATACCACTTGAGATTTTAAGCATGAGATACCATAAGTAATGATACACCTGGCCTGTATCATTATGCACTTCTCATTGCTCCACACTGGAACTTAATGAGCATAACTTTAACAACGCTCCTGTTTCCCAACATACATTTATGACGACTGCAAAAAGAACTTCACAGGCTCAAATTAGAGGTTCCAGCGGATTGTTTCTGGTTCAGCAGTCCCATGAGAACTAAACACAATACAAACTTTGTCCTCATCACTTTCTTGTCATTACAACTGTAAAGTTATTTGAAAACCAAAACCAATTCCTATGAGACAGAGGCTAGAAAATTTTGGCAAACTGGCACTGACATTGTATATTTTGGTGGCACACATTTCTCCTCACCCATCTCCTATCTACATCTCCAGTCTTTCTACGTACAGTGCAGTGTGCAGCAGTTAGTGTTCCTCAGGAATAAGCAACCAAACCCTAGACTAGAGACCAGGATCAGTGAGGCTGTCAGCCAACAGGGTTTCACCAACAATCAGTGTCTAAATGGTCTTGAGAATTCAAGTCTACTTCTTAAACAAAAGCCCTTTTGGGTGGATTTGGCTAACATACTATACATTATCTTATTGTTTAGAAAAATCTCTGAACACTCCACACAAGCTCTACCTTTCATCTGGCTATTTATTTAGGCAGCACAATAACAGTAAATAGACCCTGAAGTGGTCTTTATGATATAAAGTGACAGTACATTGACAGTGGTTCAGGAGACACTCTGGATGAGGATGCTGGATGTATTTCAAGGACTGAAGAGGCAAAGTCTGAAAAGTTCTCCCTCTGGCTCTGACTAAAAATAAGTCTGGACATAAACAGGAAAATACGACCAATATGAAATAGAAAAAACATACCTCTTGCACTGTTATTTACCCTACAAAATAGCAAAAACACCAATATTACTTAAGGCTGTAATTCTTAAACATTTCTTAAAAGTCAGATGTTTTACATTCAATTTTGGAAACTGACAACACACTTTGACAACTGATCCAAGGTATCTTCTGGCTTAGTTTGAGCTTGACTGTGCCCTTTTCCGGTACCTCAGTACTCTGACTGTTCTTACCTTCTACCCCAACACGGCTCCAGATGATCATGCAACGCAACAATTACAGCAATTCTCCATTCCTATTTAAGGCCTTTCTTGCCTTCAAATACAGGTGCAACAACAGTCCCACCGCTTTCCTTACATATTAACCTTTTAAGGTTTTTTTGTTTTGTTTTTTTTTAAAGCAGTGAATTTACTGTAAAGAGGCATCATAATACATACAAAATTTTTTCTAAAGATAAAAGTTTGACTACACCCATGCCCCTGCATATAAAAGTCAATGAGAAAGTCCTTTAAAATTACTTCAAAACATCAAATCCAAGTGTGCAAGTACAAGGTTAATATTATTTTGATGAATTCTGAATTCATTCAGCTGCTAAATCACAGGATACAAGACCTTGGTTGAACTTTTTCTGAAATAGTTTGGATAGGCAGACACTGGTTTGCTGGGCAGTTTCCTGTCTCGTCAAGGCCCTGGCAAGCTGGAAGAGGGGGAGGAAATACTGAATCTGGTCCTTCTTGAACCGAGCTGCTCCCTGCTGGATATGACAATGGCTCAGAGGCAGACTGGTAATCCTCAAAGGAAGAGGAGAAACTCAATACTGTCGGCAGAAAACAGCAGTGTACTGTCTCCTCAGGTGTTTCCAAAGGGAAAATAGTGAGTCAAATATGCCAGAGAAATCCCTGAACCAAAAAGAAACAGTTAAAGAACTCGAAAAAATAACCTGATCCTCAATGAAACACAGATCCTAGAAAAAAACTACCAATTTTATTCTCAGTGGTACAACACAACAAAATCAAAAGCGGGAGCCTGAGAGGTAACATACAGAGTAGTGGAAAACATCCATATAGTCTCCCACGTTGAAATGCCATTTTTTATTACACAAGATGTTTCATGGAGGGGCGGGGAACCGGGACAGAAGATCAAATACTGATCACCCTGTGATCATAGTGGGATAGCAATTTTGTAAAATGAGTCATCTAAAGACTTACTCATTCATAAACAAACAAAAAGAACCACAAAAGTCCCTGGTAAAGCTCTATACATTTATAAATTTCTACTTTACCAATAAAAGACGGCTGGGGGAAAAAGATGCCTAGAAATTCATGCTAAACTGAAGTGAGGGCGGCAGCCTTTGGTGTTTTTACTGAATTCCTAGTGATTGCCAATATTTTTCAACAAAATGTTGTCAGGTCATATCATCCCAATTCATTCCAGCTTTCCCTCTGTCTCCTCTTACCCCACAAAAAAATCAAAGGGAAGTTGAGTTTTATCCAGCACCACTTGGGGAGAATAAGGGCTGAACTTGTGGGGTGAGGACAGCTGGGGGGAGAGCATGGAGTAGATAACCAGAGAGCGTGGTCTGCTTTTAACGATACAAACTAGGAACAAGACTGTTTGGAAGTTGTGTTTTAAGCAGCAGGTAGACACTTCATGAATTAAATCTCTTAGCCAAATTAAGACAAATAATAGAATGAAGCCAGAACTGTAGGAAAAAATACAGATTTACTTAAAAGCAAAATGGGAAAGAAAACAAACTTTTAAAACCAGTGTACTGCCTCACTAAGCATGTCTAATGTACATTTAAAATATTGGAAAGCAGGCATTCTTACCAAAGGGCAATGTATGACTTACAATCATTAACAGAAGCTGTTAACTGTAAAGATACTTGTGGAAAGCAGTGAAGGAAAGAAGGCTTGTTAAGGGCACGGAAAAGTGAGCAGGACTTTGGGAGCGAGGCTCTGAGAAATGCAGGACATGGGCCCTCAGTATGAGGAGGATATCTGGTCTGCTGTCTTGGCTCCAAGGGGTAAGAATACAATTGGCAGGATTCCAGAAGAGGGCAATTCTGCAACCCCTAAAGCAAGTCTCTAGTTTCACTCACAAGCGGGTGTGCTTCACAGACTGTAACAAGGTCTCTTCAGGAGGATCTGCTTTCCGCCATGTAGTAACGATACAGGAAACCTAAGAAAATAGCGCCTAGGATGGGGAAAACCCAGTATGACCAGCAACTAGAGGTAGGGGAGAAAGCAATACAGTAAATATTTCATACCAAACACTTGCTATCTTCCAGCATTCACATTTTAGTATTCTTATGGGCAAAGATTCTGTATTTACTTTTGGAAATTTAACTGCTTATATCATACAGTAATTGAAAAAAAATCAGATACTTAGACTGGATTAACAACATTGAACAATAAAACCCAAAAAAGGGCAAAAGCAGGATGTGCAGTGTGATACCAAAGACAAAAAAACTATACCCATGCACCTCCACGTGTGCACTTATACAAACAGTGGTTGTTTCTGGGTCATGGGATTATAGGTAGTTTAGTATTTTCTTTTGTTTTTCACATTTTATTCAAGTAACACTAATAAACAGGAAAAAACACCAAGCACAATTATAAAATAAAACAAAAGACATTTAAACGCTACACCATTCTATTCAATTTGGAAACAGATGTATCTAAAACAGCTATTATGTAGATTTTCTGTCTCACATGTACTTTCCAATTGAATCTTCACTACAACTCTATAATACAGGTACTATTATTATTCTAAGATTGCTGGTGTGGTGCTGTGGGATAATAATGCACTGGACTGCAAAGTCGGTTTGAACCACAAAGTCGCCAGTTCAAGCTTACCAGCTGCTCCCTGGAAACCCTCCACAGGGTCACTATTGGATCAGAACCAACTCGACGGCACTTAACAACAACATTATTATTCTCACTTTATACACAAGAAATAGAAGCTTTGCACTCAAAATTAGTTAGTAAGCAAGCCAGGCAGTCTGATTCCAAGCCATGCTTTTAACGTCTAGTCTGGACACTAATAAGGATAAATATACACAGAGAAAGAACGTACTGACAATTATAATAAAGTTAATCAACTGACAGTCAGCTAGAAAAAGTAATGCAAGAAATGTCCTTAGGAATGTCAAGATGGTAATTATTCTCCTCCAAATTATTATTCCTCTTTTCACAGAGCTTATTAACATTGCTGGTTTAGTGCACATTTCTTCTCTAATTCAAATGACCTGGCTGTCCCTTTATTTAAGACATAGGTAGCCTTAGTATTAACAGGTTTTGAAGCCAATAAAACCAGCTGAAGTGCAATAATAAAAATTATTCTCCTGCCTAAACTTGCCTAACATTTTGTACACCTAAGTATGGCAGAAGACTGCCCTGGACACGTTAAGAATGTCAGCCAGGGAGCTTTGTTTAAAACAAAACAAAAGGCAAGCTGGCACCTATCACTATAACATGGCACATGAGAGCTCTAAAGTACCTCTTTATTAAATAAATTCAAATCTCTTCGAGAACCACCACACACACAAAAATAAAACTAGAATTCTTCAGACAACACTGAAAAAGAGAAATGCTCCAGTGTAAAAGATTGCTGACAAGTCACACGGAACCACTGACCAAAATATGTATCTTGTTGTTGTTAAGTGCCATCATGTTGGTTCCGACCCATAGTGACCCTGAACAGGGCTTCCAAGGCTGTAAATCTTTACAGGAGCAGAATAGAATGCCTCATCTTTCTCCTGCAGAGCAGCTGGTAGTTTCGAACTGCTGACCTTGCAGTTCGCAGCCCAATTTCGTAACCACTACGCTACCAGAGCTCCTTATGTATAGTATTATGAATATTCAAAAACTCGTAGTTTTCCTACAACTCTTCAAATACTTAACTTCCACTGAGCACAGAAAGGAGCAATGGATTTATAATGCATCAATGGGGATTTAGGCTCAACAGTAACTTCCTGGTCGTGAGACAGAACTCTCATGAGATTCATTAGGTTATTGTACATAGTTCTGATTGACTGACATATTCTGTTTTTTAAAAATAAGATTTTATTGTGTTTTTGGTATAAGTTTTCACAACAAATTAGGATCCAATTTGACAATTTTGACACAGACTGTTTAGTGATATTAGTTGTATTTTCCATAAGAGTCAACATTCTCTTTCATTCCATTCGGACGATTCAGTTTCAAATAGTGTATTTTGGTTTGATTTTGTTTGTTCATTTTGTTGCTATTGAGAATATACAAGTGAAGATTCTCTGTAGGACCCCACTACATGAATGTGCCAGTCTTTACTGACCCGTTGTATTAATAGATGATCTCTGAGTTGTTTCTAGTTTGTGAATACACAGAATGCTCCAATGAGTATTCCTGTACAGGCTTCTTCTTGTACATATGCACACATTCCTGTTGAGTTTACCCCTAGGAATGAATTGCTGAGTCAAAGTTATTCATATGGTCAAACTGTCTGGAGAATGTCAAATTGTTTTCCATAGTGTTTATATCCATTTATGTTCTCTTCTGCAAAAGCTTAAGTGTTTTAGTGATTCACGTTCTTAACCAACTCCAATTATTTACAAAAAGTTTACTGCTGCCAGTCTGGCTGTCATTGTTGTCGTGTGCTGTGGAGTGAATTATGACTCACAGCAACCCAGTGTAAGGTTTGAGAGAGAGGTTGGTGGGTTTGAACTCGCAACCTTGAGGTTACCACTCTGGTGCTTATCCTCTAGCCCCACACCAGGACTCCAAATCCAGCACCGCCGTTGTGTGCCGTCAAGTAAGTTCTGACTCACCAAGAGCAGCTGGTGGGTGCGAACTCCTAACCTTGTGGTTACCAGTCTAGTATTTATCCTACAGCGCCACACTAGGAAACAAATCTAGCATTAGGACACACCTTTAACGTGTTTTAGTCAGGTGTCCTTTACTCACTCACAGCGGTCTCCAAGTACAACTCCAAGTCCTGCCTTTGATATAGATTTGCTCATTTATCCATTTTCATCATTTCTGCTGTTAGAGAATTTCCCCTTCAGTCTGGTAGGCACTTCTGTGTTGACTACTGATGTGAATCCCTTTTTACATGTGCATATATTTTTGTTTCTTCTAAAGAATACCTGTATATATCTTTTTCTCATATCCTACACTTTCTCTTTTTGGTGAAAAACATATGTATAACACTCAAATTGCCTCTAAATTTTTTGTTTTGTTTTAAATCACTTTGTAGGAATTAGTTATGCATTCTGCATAATAATTTGAAAATCAGTTTTGTGTGCAACATAAATGTATTTTAAGTTTATGGCTTGCATTTTCATATTCTTTATGGAGTATCTATGAAAGTCCTTAGTATAAAGGAAGCTAAATTTACCAGTTCCCTTTAAGTCTGTGTTTTTTATACTCTGTCCACCTCAAATAAAAAACACTCAATATTTTTATGTGGAAAAGAAAGATTTTTCTCTTTCTCTGAAGTGTTTTAAGTGGAATCTCAAAAAAGATGGAGCAGATAATCTACATAATTTCTGTAAAGATTTTTTTCAGGCCAAGGATTTCATCGTCATCTCAAGTAGACATTTCAACGACCAAAGTATCTGGTAGTTGTTGAGTCAATTCGGACTCGTCCCGGTGACGCTGTGAATGCGGAGTAGAAGCACTCCAGAGGACTTCCAAGGCTGTGACCTTTCAGAAGCAGATGGATATGCCTTTCTTGCAAGGCCCCTTGGTTTGTGTTTGAACTGTCAACATTCCATTTGCGCCACCCAGAGACACTGAAGAGGTGGCAATTTAAACCTTTCAAAGCCAATACTGCTGTTTCATTAATAGTACTACCACCACAAGGGGTATATTTTAAGTAAATCTTTGCAAAAACCCAAATGCTTGCATATGACTGTGATACATAATTCTTTCTTCTGTAGACTACAGAAGATTTCTGAGGATGCCGTGAAGTTGACAGTGAGGCTGAGCTGCAGAGACTGAGCGCCTGACTGGCTGCATGTAGAGCTACCATTTTTCCACGTTCATCCTGGTCTCTCACTGAGTGAGTGTGATTCAATTTATATCACAACTCAATTTAAAAATCACTCAAGGCATGAACTTTAAGATGATTAAAAATGGCCCAAACTGTAAAAATTAATTGCCCTCATGTCAAGAACAATGGAATCTGCAATGACATTTTGGCCAAAAAGAATTTACAGTCAAACTCTTTATTTTATACATGTATGTTTATGGAAGAACCTTTCTCTAGACATTGCCCTATGGCCACCACTGTCAGAAAGTGGATTTTGAATCCCAGTCACCCTACAGGACAAAGGAGAACTGCTCCACAATGTGTCTCAGGCTGTAAATCTTTACAGAAGCAGACTGTCCCATCTTTCTCCCAAGGAGACGCTGGTGGGATACCACCACTGACCTTCTGATTAGCAGCCCAATACTTAATCCCCTGTGCCACAAGGTCCCCTTGCCAGGCATTAATAGAGCATAACAAAGAAGTCCAATAAAGAGATACTCTACCTTGTGCACCCATTATTTTTCGTAGTGTCCTGAGGGAGATGCATAAATTCAAAAACAAAAACAAAAAGAAAGAAAATTAACACAGTTTATATAAGTCTTCTTGAATATACATATAAAGTTAGAAGCTAACAAAATTTCCATCTTTCATGTATTTTGATGTCCATGAATCTATAAATGATTGGTGGGCTGAGAATTATATTTCTGATAATATATGTCTTGGTGAAAGTCCATTAATGAAAACATAAAGAATTGACCTAAACTTTTTTAGACATTAAAAAAAAAAAAAAAGTAATACAAATGATATTGAAATGGACTAATTGGAAGTTATAAGGCATATGCCTAGTTTATTTGGGCCTGCAATTGGTAGGATATGAGAACAGAATGCTCTGAAAAAATATATATTTAAAAAAAACCCAAAAGCCGATTCTATGGTTACATATAGATCACTTGTGAAGTGTTAACAGACCATGACATGGAGACTTTATGGTTCACTCTTTGAGATCATAATCATTATTATGAAAGACCCTTAGGGCCCAATTCACAAGGAAAAGGTGGATAATGAAATTGAGAAGAAACACCAAAACAAAACTTTTGACAGTCTCTTAATCAACACCTGGATGAACCTTGAAAGCCTAATGCTAAGTGAAAAGAAGCCAGACTGAAAAGGATCACATAATTCCATCGTATGTGACCTCTCCAGGAGAGGCAAATTTCCTAGGACTTTGGGAAGGTCCAATGGCAGGTGACTACTAGCGGGCATAGGGTTTCTTTCTGGGGTGATGAAAATCTTCTCAAGTTGATTGTATGATGGCTGCATAACTCTGTGAATACAGTAAAAACCACTGATGTGTTCATTTTAAATAGGGAAGTTATATGGCATGTGTTACTAAAAATTTTCTACTCAATTTCAGTAACTATCAAGTGAAGGTGCTGATTCCATTAACTGGCCTGCTAACCTATAGCCAGAGGTCAATAACTAGTAAGCATAGGTAACTGTTGCCAAAAGTATCACCTTTGCCAATACGTAGATAATATGCCAGGGTGTAAAAATAGAACATTAACTCTGATTAATCACAAATTTCAATATTCATCATGAATTTCTAGAAACCACACATAAACCCAAAATACTAGCCTCACTGCAGCTGCGCTGATACCCTACAGAAAAGAATACAGCTGTCCCATAGATTATAGCTGGAAAGACTGGAATCTTTACAGAAACAGACTGCCACATCATTTTCTCAAAGAGTGGCTTGTGGATTTGAACCATCATCCTTAGGTTAGAATTGAACATTCAACCACTGTACCATTAGGACTCTTAGAAACCATACATTCTGGCCTAGATCACTTTAGAGTAATCTCTGAAATGGATTTTAATATCATATATTTAAAGCACTGTTATGCAAATAAATACATGCCCCAAGACTGAAAGAAATTAGCTGACAGGCAAGGGAAACTTCTAATCGAAGATTTTAAACAAATCATATTGATACACCACTCTAGTTCTTTGAGACTTTTCTTATGCTATCCAGGACATTTCTGCTAGAATAGTATAAACTGGGCTAATTAAAACATGCTGTCGGTCAATCTTGGAGAAATACAATCATCTGTGTGACAGATTTGGGAGGGTGGTTAAGTAGTGATGTTGTATATAACAAATTAATTTATAATACTGCCTTTTAAAATACTCCATTATAGCCATCACAAAAAAACTTAATTCCATCAAGAAAACATCATCATGTTTTTATATACATATATGCCAATGATTTAGAGAATAATAAACAGTAGTTACTATCAATAAAACTGGGATAATTTGAAAGGCTTACATGAGTGCATTAAGAAGCAACACGTGTGTTAGGATGTCTAATCTACAATTACATCCAAAAGCATATACTTCATATAAATGGAGTCTCTAGATTTCAAAGCATTAAGACTATTACAACTAAAATGTGTACTTAGAGTAAACCATAAACAAGGTAATGAACAAGAGACAGGAAGAGGGAGAAAGGGAAGGCGGGGAAGAGAATGGGAAAGAATGGAAAGGACCTTAATATGCCGAAATTGTTAACATAGTGTCTAATAATTAATCAGAAACCTATATAGTGTTTTTGAACTAAGAATTGCCTAAGTGTCCCTGTTTTAAGATCATTACACCCCTGGAGGCAAAAAGATCAATTTGTCTACCATATTACAGAACAGAGACAAGGATAAGTACATTCTCTCTGTACGATGCTCACAGTTGAAGAAACACCAAACTACAGTGACTCCACTTATAATCAACTAGAATGAAAGAGTTGTTTAAGGTACTGCTCTTAGCAGCCAAGTCCCTCAGCCAAGCTTGGGAAGAAGCCAGATAACGTTATTTTTAATTTTACAAAATTAAAAAGAAAAACGTTCTATTAACATACATCTTTCCTTCAACTCCACCTTCCTGTTCCCTCTACATAGTCCCCAGTCCTCATTTCCACTCCAAATCTCTGCCATCTAAATCTAATGGATGCTTACGTGAAATCCCTGCCGTTTATGACTGACTTTAATTTATACCTTTGGGTGTTCAGGCATATCTGGCTGGTTATGTTCTTGCCCAGATTTCAATTTATATGCAAGATTTGTGGCCAGTGGAACAATGACTGCTCTCAATCTTATAAACTGGTTACAAATCGGGGTGCGTACCTCAAGGTCAGCAGTTCAAAACTACCAGCTATTCTGCGGAAGAAGATGAGGCTTTCTGCTCCCGTAAAGATTTACAGCTTCGGAAACCCTGTGCAGGTCACTATGAATCAGAATCGACTCCATGGCACATAACCAACCAACCAAATCTTAGACATAGGAGGTAGGAACAGCAAGGTTTGACTTTTGTGACAAGAAAGCAGATCAAACCTAGAGTTCTGTGAGCAAAAGCTGTACCACATAACTCATGCCAGGAGTTTGGAATCTACTTGTAAACAACAAAATGGCTACAAGGTGACTCTGATGTTTTACTCAAAACTAAAAGAAATGAAATGTTTAAACACAACCAGTTCTTAAAGTTCCAGTTTTGTTAAGGCTTTAATTCTTCCATAAAACAAACAACAGCTACATTAACAACATACAAGTACTACACATTGCCTTTTTAGAATAAAAGAAATTATTTCACAAGGCCTGGGTGACCTTTTGCGAAGCTGCTCACAACTGAAATGATGTCCAGCAACAAGTTCAATGATAAATCAGTTTCCTCACTTGTGCAATGAACGGTTTAGACTAGATGAACATGAATTCTAAACCCTATTCAATTAATTCTGACTCAATTTCCTCACCCAAGGGTATTTTAGCAAAATTTACAAGAGCCATCTTTAAGAGATTGTAATTGTGGGTCGTCGAGGTGGTTTCAACTCACAGTGACCCTGTACAGGGTTTCTGAGGAGCAGTTCATGGATTTGAACCGCTGACTGTGCAATTCAAATCTACCTTATGATCCTGTGTTTATCCAATAGCGCCACACCATGATTCAAAAGACTGTTGCTGTTTAATGCTGTCAAGTCAGTTCCGACTTACAGAGACCCTGTATAAGGTTTCCTAGGAGAGGCTGGCGAGCTTGAACTGCTGACCTTATGGTTCAAACCGACTTTGCAGTCCAGTGCATTAACCCACACCAGTCCAGGACTCCTTCAAAAGATTAGTGAGAAGGAAGTATCATTCTCCCATGTCTGGAAAGACTGAAGCACTATCACACAGGGACTGATCCATGTAACACCAGGTATATGAAGGTGTGTTCTTCCAGATACTCTGTGGAGAAGCACTGTACCCTTAACACCGATCCTCTTCAATATGCCTGAGACAATGACAAACAAAGGTCCTATGGCAACAACATGTAGGGCTGGTATTTCAGTGGGGATGGTTTTCACCATGAACTCTGTTTATAAGAACATATGAAAGAAGAACACACACTTGAGGCATGTGTCCTTAGTAACCAGGATATAAATGTAGGAAACTAGACCACAATCACAATTATGATGCATTAAAACATCTAGACGAAGAAAGTGTAAGTATATTTTCAGTCTAAATATGTTTAGACTTTCAAAGATTTAAAAGAAGAGTCATGGGCATATATGGTGCTTGTGTTTTACTATGAAATTGGATGCTTGCTATTCCAAGAGGATTCCAAGTATCTAAAATGGGAAGAAGTAGATTTTGAGTCACAAGACACTTGAACAAATTTAATGTCTATTTGGGTGACCCGGTACAGTGTTCACAACTCTTATATTTAGAATATTGTTGTATCTCTCTACCTCTCAATTTATGAACTTTCTCCTTCAAACAGAGCTGAAAAAGGACTCTGGCCCACTATACAATAAGCCTTATAGCCCTAACTACCACTCTATGCATCATAGAGAATCTGAGTGCTGAAGGTACAAGATTTCAACATTTTACAGTCCCAACTATGACACGGTCATGTGGTACAGATCTTGAGAACAAACAGTTTTCTCGTAAAGCTATGTATTAAAATATACAAGCTATTTAAAACCATTTCTTTCTAGGCAAGAATACATCATGATGTGCAGTTTTAACAATTGCTGCCTTGAAAAATATATCCCCAGTCAGCCTGGTAATGAAAAAAAAAAAATGTTCCCTTGTAAGCTAAGGACAAAATTAAAAGATGAAAAATACTCCCTAAAACAAATTTCTATACAACTCTCTCAAGACCCCAGTGCAATAAGACTGATGATACCTCACTGCAGAATAATATTCAAACATTTATAGGATGGTCTGTACGGGGCTCTCACAAATGAAAAATATTGAAGGGCTGATTTGAAAAGGGTGTGACTTGTCCTTGTGACCTCTTGTTTTAAAAAAACTGCATATCAGACTTCCAGCAAGATGGAAGACTAGCAAACAAAACACACGGACCCTCTACAACAAAGATTGCTGTTGTCAAGTGCCGTCGAGTCGGTTCCAACTCATAGCAACTCAGCATAGGGTTTCCGATGAGCAGCTGGTGATTTTGATCTGTCAACCTGTCCAATGTTTATCCCATAGCACTACACCAGGGCTC